TTGGAGACAGGATTTCACTCCCATTGCCCCAGGCTGGAGTGCAGTGGTGTGCTCTCGGCTCACTACAGTTTCTGCCTCCTGGGCTCAAGCAATCCTCCTGCTTTAGCCTCCCAAGTAACTGGGACTACAGGCCTGCACCAGCATGTCTGGGTTTCTCTATGTTGGTAAGGATGGTCTCGAACTCCTGACCTCAAGTGATCTGCCTGCCTCGGCCTCCCAAAGTGCTGGGATTACAGGCATGAACCACCACGCCCAGCCACCCACCAATATATTTTGTTGACAACCTCTCAAATCGCATATGCCTTTTTTAAAAAATGAAAAATGGTGCTTTGTTGGAGCACATCATATGATGGCATTCCGAATTAGTCAGGATAGGTCATGTTATGCCAAGATAACAAATTAAGTCTGGAACTTCCATGGCTTCACACATAATTATTTGTTTTTCTTTCATGCTATATGTCTGACGTGGATCAGAAAGGGTCTTGAGGCCACATACTCATTCAGGGCCTAGGGCTGACAGATACGTTAACTTCAGAAACACAAGAATTCATGATTTTTGAGGCAAGAGATGAGAACAGTTGAGAATCTTGAACCAGTCCTTAGATGTTTCCTTCATGCATTTTCCAGAGCCACTCACATGGCCCTACCAAACTGCAGAGGTGATGGGAAACGTAGGGTGCACCTGAGTGTTTGGTGGGTGGACAATCCCATAAACCCTGTGCGTGTTGGAGTAGCTGAGGATTCTGCCCTTGACGCTCATCTCTACTCAGCTGTGAGGTCTGCTAGGTGATCGAACCCAGCGTATAGATCCTAGTTATATCCCCAGCCTGGCCCTTTGCCCTGAGCTCCTGATTCATTTATCTGTTATAGTTACCTACTCAACATCTACGCTTGGGTCTATAGTTGACATCTCAAGATAGCTTTGTCCACACAGAACCTTTAATTTTTAACCTTCAAAAATAGCTGGTTTTAGCCAGGCACAGTGGCTCATGCCTGTAATCCCAGCACTTTGGGAGGCCAAGGGCGGATCATGAGCTCAGAAGTTCGAGACCAGCTTGACCAACATGGTGAAACCCTGTCTCTACTAAAGATACAAAAATTAGCCCAGGCATAGTGGCAAATGCCTGTAATCCCAGCTACTCAGGAGGCTGAGGCTGGAGAATCACTTGAATCCAGGAGGCGGAGATTGCAGTGAGCTGAGATCCTGCACTGCACTCCAGCCTAGGTGACAGAGTGAGACTCTGTCTCAAAAATAAAAATATAAAAACAGCTG